GAAAATAAAACACTATTATCTGGTGAGGTGGGCTTGAACAGCCATCTGAACTTCATAAATCAGAAATCATGTCCTGTTGAAAATGTTCAAAATGTGTAATCAGTCTTGGAGAACACAATGGGCATTTTCTTGCCAAAATATGAAAGATCTGGATACAACAAGTGCCACAAAAAGTTCAACTGCTGGTGCATTCATTCAAAATGTTCCCTAAAATATTTATTGCTGCAAAATTTCCTACATAAATTCATAGCTCCGGAATAGCAGCACTTCCAGATCAGATGAACACCAGCAAATGATTTCACATCACCGCCGCCTGCCACGAGCTCAATATTTATATGAAACAGCAGGACTGCTCCGTTCACCTACAGTGGTGGTGACCTTTGCCTTGTCCAAAAATAAATAATTAATTAATTTGAAAAATAAGACTCGGTCAGTATCTAAGGCGCTGAACGCGCTGGACTGAAAGCAGCCGCATTCAACAGTTCAGCACCGCGCAGCGTTTCTGTTCGGTTTCTGAAGTCTGAACTTTCCAGAACAGCTGAACCCCTGGAGCACCCAAAGCCTCGCTCCTGTGTGGAGAGACTGGTTACAAGTTAAACGTAAAAATTAGCTGTAACTCCTAAACTGAAGTCCAAAGTCTGTGTCCGCGCTCTGCCTCCTCCTCCTCCTCCTCCTCCACCACCACCTCCTCCTCCTCCTCTCCCTCCTTTTATATCAAACAGATTCGAGCGAAGCGCCATTTTCCCCCTCCGAACCATGTGCAACGAAAAAAGGCGGCGAGCGAAAAGTGAGCTGGAAAAAAACAGTAAACTCTTAAGTTTAAGCTGAACCGGAGAAGCAGCGCAGAGCGAAAACGAGCCACAACACACAGGTCGTTAAAAGTGCCACCCGCTCGTGCGAGCGAGTGAGCGTGGAAGCACCAAACAACAAAAAAGCAGTTCAGCGTTGGTGTAACGGAAGCGATAAAAGAACGGTTAAGAGTCTTTACCTGTGTCAAGCAGTACGGGGAGTACATGGTTATCTAGCTTTAGCTTTGAGAAGTGGAGAGCTTATTGGAGTTGGATGGTAGGTCGCTGTGGTGCTGCATTGCAGTCGTTCGCTGTTCTCGCCTCGGCCGCTCACTCACTCCCCTCATTCACTCACTCCATGCTCGCAGTGCTAACCCCGCCTAGCTCGAAGTGAAAGCTCCCACAAAAAGTTTTTGAGGAGGGAGGAGAAAGAGAGAGGGAGGAAAAAAAAAAACTTTATCTCCCTCCCTCTGAAACTGCCTCGACAGCTCTCGCTCTCCTCTGCGGCCCTCTGCTTCAGGACGAGCTCGGAGGACGCTTCACTCAACGGCTCCTATGTTTGGCTCTAAGGATGCTAAGCTATACACGGAAAACACAAGAAAGTGAAGTCAGGTAGCGATCAGGCAGTGCTAGCCGAGCACAAGGTGTGTTGTGTTGTGTGTCTTGTCAGTGAGTGAGCGGTAGTGAAGGCCTCGGTTCCGCAGTCTCTACATGTCGAACGTGATTGAACGTTGAAGAAAAACTCGGAGCTAACTTAAGTAAAAAGGTTAAGTGTTTAGGTCTATAACGTTCGTGTTACTTTAATATTACCATTTAACAAACTTTCTAAAGAGTCGAATAATCATTTCCATTCCATTCTATATGTTATGTGTTAAAATGTCCTGATGGTGCAGAGCTCTGATTGTATACTACCCAGATCCGCTCAGAAAACTACAAAACACAACACTGCAAAATAGTGATCTTATTAAACAGTGCAACTGATATAACTAGCTGTACAAAACACAAACTGCCACATAAAAAAACTTCATATATTCTCCCTTTTCTTTTTCATAACACTGAAAAAAGAACAACGTAAAATATGTAAAAATATATGCAAAATCTACACTGAGTCTGACAACGAGCATCAACTATAGTTGCCATTTTTCATATCTAAGTTGCCATTTTTCAAATCTAAATGAGTTGGTTAACCACTAGGTCATTCAAAAGGCAGCAAATGAGAGATCCTCAGAGGAGGCAGAGGGATTTAATTTTGATGCTTTTAGTGCTCATTTTCTCCATTTCTCCATGTGGTAATTAAATAGTTACACTTTCATTAAACAAACACAAACATCTTTTTAGAAAACAGATTCTGAAATCTGATTGGCTGAGCCATGTTATAAAATAAAGAATGTATATATGTATAATGCTTCAGTGAATCAATCAAATTCTGTTTTAATTTAAGTTGTTCAAACCATTGTACTGTTCATGGAATAACATTGTATCCTTATGTTGTCTGGTAACCACAGCCCACTGTTAACTAATTACATTGCTTGGTGGAAAAACTCATATTACACTAAGTTGTAATCAAAAACCCATTTATCACAATAAAAATAACACATTTCCTTAATAACAGTGGAATTAGCCACAGTATAGCACTGAAATGTGTGTTCTCATCCTCAACAACTTCTTTCACTTAAAAACAAAAACTGATGAAAATAGTATTTCATGCATTTGGGAACCAAATCCTTCAACTACATATTGTGATCATTATTACTGATATATTACAATATTTACTGAACATTAATGTATTTTATTTAGTTGCTTTGTGTTGGGCCTAACCATGTTTGCTTGACCTTGGTAAAATCACTGTCGTACATGGCCTCTCATGTCTTGTTGCTTTTATATGGTAGGTATCAGTGTAACATGTAATGCACTAGTACAAGCTGTTTGGGATCATTTTACAAACACAGACTGCGCTCACAAGATACATAATATGTGAAACAGTACTCCCAGTGTTTGAGCGTAGAAAAGAAAAAAAACACTTTGCTGATCAGACTGAAGATTACATCTCAGACATCTATGTATGCTATGCAATAGGCAAACTATTCAGGGATAAGAACAGATGACACTTCTAGTAGTCGTCAACCAAAAAAAAGTTACGTAAGTGATGACAAGCATTTGTCAGACATTGACAGATAGGAATCCTGTCTTGCGCTCATACACACAAACATGCACATGCCGATTCCAAAAGCCAAATTCTGAGTGCTCATAGCAGGACTAGGAGTGTGCATTAAAGGAAAATCAGGCGGTAAACGGAGAGTTCTGGAGTCTGTGCCTGGGTGGGGAGGCTTGGTGGGGGTGAAGTCATTGTGGGGAAGCGGAGCTGAAGTTTTGGAGCTGACACCCGAGGCCTCAGGATTTATGAGGCCTGCTGCCTGCACAGCACCACCGCAAGCCACTGCAGGGGAAACAAAGAGTGAAGCCGGCACTGTGTGGCCAATTACCGCACACAGCCAAGGGAGAGAGAGGGAGCAAAGGAAGGAGGGAGCGCTCGGTTAGTGGCAGGAGAGTCAGAAGGAGCGTATGTGTGTGTTTGTGTGTCCATGTGACATGGGGTCATGTCAAACCGCACCATCTGCAGATACAGTAACTTAATGAGAGTCGCTTTTGGTGAGCGGTCACTGGCAGCTGGAGTGACCATGCATGACCCTTGAGATTGCATGTATCCCTAAATAAGGGAGCACAATCTCAAAACAGTGAGAAGTTCCAAGCACACTACAATGCTGAGCGAGAGTGTCATTGACTTTGCTTCTTCTAAATGATGATCTGTTTTTGTGGCAAAAAAAATCTAAGCCAGAATGTGGCTTTTATTAAAGTGGTATCAAGGAAAGAAATTTTCCTGACACTCAAGAACAACTTTCACCCAGCACTTAGGAGAACTTGTGTAGCATCACTCCCTAAATGAGCCCAGCGTTTAGCGGTCAGAGTGGATGAAGCTAACACATGGTAGAACCATATGCTGGGGCTAGATTAGGAGCGAGCAACCATCTTTCTCACAGGGCTAAAATACACGCGTTTGCTGCGCACTAAGCTGTGATAGCTCGGCAGTCGCCAGCATCTGCAAGGCGTTAAGTTATTCTTGACTCTTCTGTATTACGGATGTGCAGTTTGGAGTTCATGCAACGAGTGCTAACACATTAGCTACTAGGCTAAAACTACACCAGAATGACTCAGTGCTTGGCAGCTTGAAAAGCTTCTGCTGATCTGAGAACAACGAGCCAACCATCCTGGGAGTTTTCATTAAAAGGAGACCACTAGATTGACAAAAGATATGAGACCTGAATTAGAACTTCCTTATTCTGAGCTATTCACCATATTACACCTGTGCGAGACTGTAGGCCGGATCACCAGGCCCTCTCCTCAGACCGTCCACAAACTCACTGATCCCTGATATCCAATATGGCCATTTCTAGTCTCCGCCCCCACTCCTACTTTCCAACCAATGGCACCTTCCCGTTTTCCCTCCGTTTTCAGCTAGTCTCTGCACCCCGAGACACTCGATATGCTGGAGCAACCCAGATTTTCTCTGAGAAACTTGGCAAAAGCCATGCGCTGGAAACAAAAAGAAACAAAGAGTAGAAAACCGGCTCCCAGCTCATTAACAAACCCATTTTCAGTCATCCACGGACTCCCAGCACCATCCCTCCGTCCCTCCAGCCCTCCATCCCTCCATCTCTTCATCCCGTCCTTCTGTTTTTATGGCCATTTTATTTAACTCCCATTGCTGTAAACCCAAATGAGCTTGCAGGGCGGAATTTTAAAAGCCGAGCACCAGTTTTTTCTTCTTCTTCTTAAACTGTGTGTAGTTTTAAAATGCTCACCTCTCCTTCCCTTTCCCTCCCTCCTCCCTGTGTCCTTCTCATTTTATACAAGTGTGCTGCACATTATCGTTATAATTTTCGTTCCCACGAGAGAGCAGTGCTTCGGCTGAGTTGTAAGGTTCCTTTTTCTTTTTTTTCCCCCAAAGTGTGTGTGGAAATAATGATGGTAATGGCTTGCAGCTGAGGAGAGAGAGTTGTGAATGACATTATGATTGTGGTGCAATTATCAAGAGCATGAAAGTGGACTATCCATCGCTGTAATTACCGCTGACTCAAGTAACAAATCAATAATAACAACAATAAGGATAATAACAATTGCAATAATAAGTATAATAGTAATAATGAGGCATACCCTGTAGGAATCAGACACTACAAAGCATTCTGGCATCCCAGGACCTCTGGATGGGTCTTCGTTCACCAGAAAGGTTTCGGTGGCCTGAAATGTAATATAAAAGTCACACACACCATCAATTCAACTCCATTCACTCATTGCTTACTTAATCATAATTATATCTAACATTATTCTGGGTATTATCAAAAAACACTGCAAAATGTGGTTTATGTATTGTTGTCATAACAAAACCTTGTATCCTTTCTTTTAGGAGACAATGAAGAAAAAGAAAAAAAAATGTAAAAAAGGAAAAAAATACTCTTGCTTTACATAAATGTATCAAGATTGTATTGCTCACAATCAATTTCTATTGGTCAATTTGTTGTGAAGTGTTCACCCAATTTAATAGGGCATGCATGTACTTGCATTTACAAAAATTTTAAGGTTTTGATATAACAGCAACAATATTTATGATTTACTCATCTGCCCATACAGATCCTAGGAAAATGCTTGTCAAATGCTGTTGTTAAGCACAGTTCTACCATTATTATCTTATAACTAGCAAAAAAAGACATTTCCCTGCATTATTTCTGTACACAACGTGGTCGCGTGCTAGCCTTACTAAATAGCCTGGCCGAAAAGAACCACCCAGCTAACGAGACATGGCAGTGTAAGCAGGCTTTATGCTGTACAGCCCAGGTGTTGTGTGGGCTTCTATAATCTGTCTCAGTGGGTTCCCCAGTACCTCCTCAATACCGCTCTGTGTGCCACGCACAGCCAGACCAGAGATTCCGACTGGTCCTGGTCCGCACCTGCTGACTTTCCAGTATAGCCATGACTTATTCGGCACCCACCGCTCACACAGCAGGCCCTTTCTCCCCACACGGCCGCCAAGGTAGTTTGTGTTTTCCCTGAGTGTCGACCCCATTCATGCCGGTTCATTTGTATGCCAAGGAAGAGCCTGGCTGGGGCCGAGGGGCTGAATAAGCTCCCCTTCCCACTTTCAGTCATTAGTGGAATAACGTTAAATCAGACAGCAAAGCAGGGAGTAAAGCCATGGCCAGGATATAAAGTACGTCTCAGGGTCTAAAGAGCAGGAGCGCTGCTCCCAGACCAGTCTTTCTGGGTTTTGGACATGGAGTCACTGTTATATGATAGGAAAGTCATCCCAGGTCAGCACTCCTTGACTGAAATCGTATGCAAGCGCTCAACCAGTCAGGTAATGTGCATTTGATTCAAACTTGAGCATGAACGCCCACATACAAATGTTTAGCCCTCTCCTATACACACTTGTATAAAAATACACACAACATTAAAATAACAGACATGCGCACAGACATACACACACACAAGCAGCACTATAATAAGTCCCAGACACTGGCTAACCGAGCTGTCGCTGCAACACAAGCTATTCATATCCACAGCAATGAGTGGTTACTTGGCCTTTCCCTTTCTCTCTTGCTAGCCCTCTACAGACCTCAAAATGTCTAAACATGCCTTAGAAGGCTAAACTGATTAAACTGCACTGGTATATTATAACATTGAAGTACTTCTCAATTACACTAAAGTGTATCACAATGTTCTCCAGTTCAAAAAGCTAAGCCATTTGTGTACAAATGGTCATTTTCTTGTGGAAGTAGGGTGTTCTTCCCAATCCCAGCCATCTGAGTTTGACTTAGAGATCAACAGTACAAGCCCCAAGCTCAGACTTTACTTCCTTCGGTTAATTCCAGAAGCTTTTCGATGGAGCCCACAAACCAATTTTTTAAGATCATCTAAAATTAGCGTCACATCTTGCAACGCATACTCTGAATTTGCCTTTGAAGAAAGTATATGATGAAAAATCAAATTTGCATGATTTTCCGATGACCTCAACTGTGGTCAGTCATCCAAAAGAGGTTGGCGTTCCTACTCTGCTTATTTACAATTACACCAAAGCAGAGCACATAGCTAACAAGTAGTGAAGGCTAATTTCCACCAATTAGCATGATGCAAATTGCATGCCGAAATCATTATCCATTTCTTTTAGAACACAGCATGAATAAAAAGTGCAGTTTTAAAGGAACAGTTTGACTGTTTGCTCAAGCACTGCTGTAAAAAAGCCAGAGTGTCATTGCAAGCATAACTGCATTTTCATCTAAATCACAATTAATTATCTTGGGCCATTTGTCTGCTTTCACTCTATTGTCATTTACCAAGTAAAATCAAAATTACAAGCCATGTGCGTTGGGTCATGTAACACTGCCTCTATACATGAGTTTAAGGAACATTGATTTGATTAAGATTGTAGTCTACAGAACTATGCAGTGTACAAACTTTATCTTCACTGTCATGGCTACGTGTTACAGTATACAAGTAAATGCTTTTGATAGTAACAAAAAAGTAACAGTCAGCGATATTTCTGAACCTTTGGGGGCCCTAAGTAACATCCTAACTGTTGTGAGAATAAAGTTAATAATAATAGGAGAATTAATACTTAATTAATCTTGACAGTGAAAGATTTAGGAAAGTCTCTAGAAATAATGAGATTTTTGACAAATAATGTTAAATAAATACATACATAAGTACGTACATACTTGGGGACCTTAAGTGCCTGCTTATAGCTAGAAATGGCCCTGGCTACAGTGTCAATGATCACACAGACAATCCATCTGACGTCATTTTTGGCAATCGTGCAATGTTTTTGGTGTGTGTTTTCCATCATGCTGATTAGGTTCTGCTGCTTGTAGCAGCGTTGATCAACTTGAGGTAGATGGAAAATTCTGTCACACTTTTCTTTTAATATAGCACATTTCATGCATGCTGCAAGATACCTCTTGGTATAGATGGCATATTTTTCTGCACTTTCATTTGCTCTTGAAATCATTTGTGAAAAACGTCAGCTAGAGTTAGATTCACATTATGATAGGCCAGCCTGCTCAAAGGATGTCTCAGTAAGTGACAATGGACAGTCATAGAGTTAGATTGAAAGACTGTAAACAACTCTCCCTCTCCCTCTCTCTGCCTCAATTGCCTTCGCACTTAAAAGGGGCATCATTTGTTTGAGTCTGCGCTGATTGTTTGATGTAGTTCCCTGTAGCACTGGCCTGCTTTTCCCTCTCGGTAGATTTTTTGTGGAGCACGGTATCAATTATATATACCACCCTTTTCTACATATATGCAACATATGCCCAATACCATATGGCCAGCCCTGAGCAAAAATGGTCTCTCTTAATTAACACATTAGAAGCAACAAATGCATATTCAAAGGCCCTGTGACCTAAATGATTATTCAAAGAGCCCAGTGAAAGAATGTCGACAAAAGTAATCAAGTCGGCTTCTCGGATCTCCTCACATTGGACTGTGATGGTGCTTTTTAACAGTTTGCAAACAATGTAAAAAAAGTTTATTGAATTGTGGATGATCTTGTTTTAGCAAGCTTGCTGTCTCTCATATACACAGATTCACATTAAACTGAATGTATGTAGATTGCTGAATGGCCCACCTGGCACTTACTCATGGCACTGGATAAACCACAACAAGCACACATATTGCAAAACCACCCATTTAGTCACGAATCCTTCACTGCAGTGGTCTTGCTACACATCACAGCAACCCATGGGAGCAGCAAGCAACTCTTTACCTCAATGACAACAAATATTCCTCGTTCTTTCGGAATATTCTCTCATAAAATCATCAGCTTCATCACCGCCATCACCATCATCATCAACTCGAAAACAATCAGCGACCTACTGTGTTCTTCTTGCGCTCTTTGCAGATAGCACATTTGCAGAGGGTGACTGGGAATTCACAGGATCTCTACATACCCATTAACTCTCTCCAAACCTGGGTAATATGGCAAACACATCAAAGACAAAGGGGGGAGACGGACTTGTTTGTTAAAAATGGCAGGGGGAAAAATATATGAAAGGAGAAATGTACTCCGTGTGAACGTTTGCCAGGGCCACTTCAGGGAAAAATGCTGGAAAATGTGATATTTCATACCTGCATCTCTGGAGGAGAGGGGAGAGGAAAATGAGTGGAGGGGGGGATATAATAGCAAAAGAAAGGGGGAGGTGTAGGTGGGAGACTGCTTATTGTTTGTTGGCAAGGCTGTTGAAGCTGTAGATGCAGCTACAATTGCCTTCTTTATAGGCATTGTGGCCTAACGTAACGGTAATTTCCTATCATGGGTTATTATGTAGAATAAATAAACTGCATTGGATGTGCAAAAGCTCTTGTGGAATCCTGTTTCATTAGTGCTTTGTTATTTATTTATTTATTTTGGTGGTTTGCCAGTGTAATGGCACCAGAAAGCAGGAACAAGTGAAGGGATAATTACTTTTTAAGTGCATGAGAATAGCCTTAGCTATATAACTCCATGGCCAAGGATATGACGTTTATTGCCCAGGAACAGAAGGTTAGTGCTGAGGAATTTAACGCAATAAAGCATTGCACCATAGGGGGCGCTAGCAGGGCCTATGTTTCTTCCCTCTTTTAGTGTGACTGTCTTGCATCCACTCTGAGTAAACAAAAAGTAAAAGATACGTTTCACCTAGTTTAAACAGATATTATAAACCTCCAAATGTTCCATAAACGTATTTTTGCCACAGATGCCACAGAATGAATTTAACTTTAGCTTCTTTGTACTCAGACTCTAAATTGGATGAAAAAAGCTCCATCAAACTAACTGATAACACTTCTAACCCAAAATGGATACTCTTCTACTGCACACCACAGTAGCTCAGAAACAGTATTTTAGATGCAGATGGCATCTTCAGATTTTTGTAGCGTCTATATATTAAAGTGAATAACAAGTAGAATTTATTGAGTTCCCACACATTCAGATGAGATACAAATTGAGAGTGAGGCTGTTTGATGATGGTATACACGGCTGTGCCAGCTCGAAGCTCACTCTGACACGCGTCCAATACTACAATAGCTGTCAGCTTTCAACTATCAAAAGTTTGTAGCTTCGATTGTTGTTTGGAAACAAGTAATTAAAGGCAGCTCAGTCCTCGATTTTAAAGGGAAGACGTTAATCCCAAGCGGAGCTGAGCACCGAATATATTCCCTCACTTCCTTTAAGGGTGGCCTATTTGGGCCAGTGCCATTTAAAAAAGCAAGTAAACAAATAATTATCCATATTAATGTGCTGATATACAGGCCCGCATGGAAATCATCTGCAGCTTCAAGGTTAGATCTCATCAGCAAACCCAGTCGGATGTGGGCAATCCAATCATTCGAGACAGATCAGGAGCCAAGTGACACATTGTCAGTTCAAGGTCATTACGACTTAAAGACACTGAAGCGCTGGCATTTTCATTTGACATTTTGTATTAATTGGAAATAGCATGATTCACACAGTTCTAAATGAAAGAATTTTGGTCAATCTTAGGTCAACTCTGACCTCCAAAATCTGGATGCCTCTTTCAACATGGAGGCAACAATTAGTCCCATGAGTCTGGGAAATAGCACAAATGCTCTTCCTCAGAGAAACTCCGCTTGCGTAAAGGAACTTTTTAAAAAATGAGCACAGGCAAGATTTTAATCAGTGATCGCTTTGTATATGGGACAAAGAAAATCTGGCATCAACAGAAACTGATCTAAAGCTTCAAATAAAACCCTACATTTTAGAGAAGGATAATTTCAGACTCTTTAGTTTGTCTGAGAGGAAAAGATTTCAGGTCATCCGAACTCCTTTTTTCCAAAACCTGTGGTATATAGAAATTTTATTATAGAAAATAAATCAGTTACAGCACTGGAACGAGATTTAATAACTTTAACAATTTTAAGATTTAATAATTTAACCTAATTAGAGATATGCCAAAAGAATTGGTCATGTATTTCAGTCCGAAAAGGATGATAAGGAAAATATTAGTGTTTAGCAGACATTTGTCTGATCTCCTTTAATAAAAATTGATTATTTAACAAGACACCGAGGCTGATATCCAATTTAACATTTAATTTTTTTTGTTTCATGTTGATACTGATACACAATCATTTAAAAAATGTAGAAGCTGGGCCAAAATTTGCCTGAACATTAGAGAACAATGAAAGATTTATTTCTGCAGGGTTATAAATGCAGTAAAATGAATAAATAATTTTAGTACAGTAGCCCAGCATTGCCTAAACATTCTGCTCATCTGGAGCACAACACATACTGGTTTGAAATATTGGTCAGATCTAAACATCTGATGCTGATATATATTTTTAAGCAAATATCCGATACCGGTATGACTCTGATATCATTGTACATCCCTACATAAAAGAGCTGAGAGATTTCTATTTGGTTACTATCTAACTACAGTAATACATAAGTTAATGAGGAATACCTTTTTTGTGTGTTTGTTTGTGTGTGTGTGTGTGTGTGTGTGTGTGTGTGGCCACGGCTCTCTATAAGTGTTTAAGAGCTAATAAATATCCTCAATAAAAAAGATCAATGCGACCCAGCGTGTGACAGACATGCTGCAGAAACGTTGGGACTGACAGCTCTGAATGAATGAAAGGCACCCAGCGCTATTGTCCCTTTAATAAAAAGTCTCCAGCACACACAGCTTTGTTGCCTTTTGACAGAGCAGAGGTGGGCGGTCACTGGCACCCCGGGCCTTTCAGCTACGGCAGGCTCCATGTGCCACACTCCCAGTGCAAATAATGGCAAGTGCATGAGGCACATCAGCCCACATGATAGCGCTGAGGATGGAGAGATAGCAGTCAACACAGCAAGTGCGCTGACGGGACACTAATCACAGTCCGACAGGAGAGAGATTTTAAAATAAGATCTTTTTATAGCCTTTTTTAACTGCTTTTGGAGAACGGAGCAAAGTAAACACACGCCAGTATGAACTCATACACAGTCAAAAACAGTCAGACTGTTATGGGGGGTCACGTAGCTCCAACCAGACACCTTAGGCGGCCAACAGTTCACTTTGTGGACCAGCTTTCTGCAGGTGACCCGAGCACAGCACAGCGCTTAAAACTACTCTGCTAGTACTGACAGAAGAGCCTCACATCTCACCAGCCTGAGAACCAAGCTAAACCACGATTCCTCTTCAACAGACACAGGCCAAACACACTGCCTGCTAACTGAGAGAATGTAAAACATTTACTCTGAACCCCAACGACAGACTTTTTCTTCCTGAGTTTGAAACAGACTTTTCTCAGAATTTACAGAAAAGGACAAAGACTTTTTTTCGTGCTGTTTTACAGAGTTTGTGAGCAAGCAGAAAGACGTTTCTCCTCACAGTCCGTGAGGTAAACTGGCTAAATCAGTCTGACGGCTGCAGTCGTCGTAATAATGTGTCTCGTTTTCCTTCTTGCTCTCTAACATTTTTTAAAACATCACGAAAAAAAGGAAGAAAAGAGCAAAACTGTTGATTTACACAGCACGTACCATTGTGGAGCGGGGAAGATTGCCTGCCAACAGTCTCAAAGACCCATTTTCCTCCTTCCGAAAAAAAAGTTTACCCCCGAAAAAAAACACAGAAGTGGAGGAGAGGCAGCGCGCGCTCACTTCTCGTTCTTCGCCTCTATCGGAAACCAAAAGCAGCTTTTTTATCGCGAGACGACGAGCATTTTTTTCGTCTTTTTTATCAGAAAATGTCTGTTTAATGTGTATCCGTTCTCCGGATGAGAAGGGCTGCTGGAGAGAAACTCTGTCCGAGCCGGCGGGGCAGCTCGCGGCCCCCGTCACTGTGTGAAAGTGTGTGTGTCTGCGAGTGTGTGTGGGAGAGAGAGAGTACCGGCCCTCGCTCGTCTCTCAGTCCGCTCTGAGGTAAGTGTTTCCCGGCTGACGGCTCAGCTCGGCGCCCGCGAGCGCGGAGAACCAACTTTTCTGCGTCTCTCCGAGAACCTTCAGGCGGTCTGGTGCTTCGTCTCCATCCCTTCTCTCTCTCTCACTCTCTTCCTCTCTCTCTCTCACTCTCTCTCCTTCACCGTTTGGACTCGAGTCGACGGTAAAAACAAAAACGAGCGCGAGCGGAGAAGCGGCGGGCTCTGCGAGGCGCGCGGCGCTGAGCTGCAGTCGGAGTGAGTGAGTGTTCGGGGGCCAGAATAAAAGAAACAGAGGAAAGCGAGCGCTGCTAACCGGTGAATTATTAATCAGCCCGAACGGCTCGCGTTCTGTCGCGCGGAGTGCGAAGGCAGGAGGGCAGCTGGGGGGCTTTAGGGGGAATTAAAGACGGGCATGGAGTGGAGCACGGACGGCAGGGGGATTAACCATGCACCGGCAACAACATGGCACAGAGGGGGAGAGAGAGAGAGAGAGGGAGGGAGGGTGGAGAGAGAGAGAGAGAGAGAGAGAGAGATGTGTGTCTGTGTATACAGTGAATGGCGTTTAGCCCGTGATCAAGATATTAAAGCGAACTGTAAGCGCGGAGGTGAACTCACGAGCTTGGATGGAGGTTTGAACATGCACGCGGGCACTTTTCCCATTCATGAGATCCCAGTGGGGCTCCGCTGAGGAGCATTATTACAGTGATCTGCACTTGTGTTGGGTTATCATCACTTTTCTGGCACGTCCGGTCGATGTATATTCATCAGTGGAGCTCAGGTCACCGGGCGGTTAGTGCTTATGATTCAGTAAATTATAAGCAGTCCCGCAACCACGTGACCGACTCTACTTTAACATAATAAACCGTTTTTACGGTGAAGCTGCCGGAGACCGTCAGCTCAGCATGTTGAGATGGCAGGTGGTTAGCGTTAAGGGCAGTGAGTTGAACCAGACTCAAATTGGAAAGTTCAGAATCTGCTCCAGTCAGAGGAGTTTAAAACTCTAAAAACACAAAAGTCTGTTCAACCAAACGACTGAACTACTGTTTTCTAGATCTGAGTGTTTTTTCTGGATTGTTCCTGGAGCTGGAGCTCCGTGAGGGTGTGGTGCTGACTAGAGCAAAATGACCAGCCACTGCAGGACTGTGTTTAAACTCAGTCCAGCCAAATCAAACGGCACTGCAAAACGTAGAGTGCTCGCTGGGAGTGGTGCTGCACAATGAGGTCTGGCTGTTATAGACAGTTTTAATGGGTGTTAAAATGCGTAAATAATTAGCTCACTGGCCTATATATATGTATATAGAGGTATATCACTCTTTTCTGTCAGAGAACAGTGTAAATATTAAAAGTCCAGGAGGATTTTTTTTTAATTGCAGTGCTCTTGCAGCGCTTTCTACCAGTGGCTGCAGGAGAGATTGTGAAATTTTTCGAGAAAGCATGACGGAAATAAAGTGCCATACCTTATAAATAAACAGACATATTTTAGACACATATACTCATATATTTACTTATTTATCAATCTACTTGAATTTTAGGCTATTTGGATTCCACGTTTACCCAAGCACATAAGATTTTGTAGATTTTTTTTTACTGTTATAAATTTAATTCAGGCCATTCTGTGCACTTTTCTGAGTATTTTCGAATACGTTTCAATCTGAACCTTATTTTAAATAGCTTTGATTTATTTTTTAACCAGTGCATTAACAGAGACTGTGAGAGGACACTTTACTGAAAGGCAGCGTTTTCATGATATGAAATAAATGATTCTTTTAAATATTATAGTGAATGACTGTCTGCTCTGTTCAGACAGTACCCCGGAGACCCCCTATTCGCTTTGGTAAAACCGGGCAAGCTCGTGTTCGCCTGAACCCTCAACAAAAACACATCTATTACAACTGAAAATGCATTAAAGCTCTCCAGTCTGTATCAAATACTACTAGTAATATTAAACAATATTAAATAGTATTCATAACAGGCTCGTTTAAGTTTCTTCCCAATTTGACTTAAACAGATTTTTTTTGGTTCAAACAAGTTCAAATGTGCAGTAACATCATATCTAAACTTCACTGAGCAGCTAAACGGTACCAGGATTGACTATTCATTCCTTTCATTTATATTATAAACATATAAATATCTTTATCCTATTATATATTTTTCTCCTGTTTAATTACAGTGGATAAGAAAAATACAAAACCCTAAATGTTCATATGTTTTGTAAATATTTATGACATTAATCTGTGCACTGACAGTAATAATCCTGCAGGACTTTCTTTTCTATGAATAAGTAATTTTTGTGGAAATGATGGTTAATGCAGAGGGACTGTTTTTAAAAGGTAAAGGTGTTAAACAGAGCTGTGTAATGTGGACGAGATGGTGAAGTGAAGGCTGCTTTAGCAGGTGAGGAACCTGTAGCTGCAGCCTTAGAAAATTCATTTCAGATCTTTTAATGTATTAATGTAGCTGAGGTTTCATTTCAGAAGAATAAAATAAAAATCTTATCTGATTAGAATCTAATTCATAATCTAATAAAGTAATAAACACGTTTTAAATTTGATTTTAAAGGCATTTTAATTTTAAATGTATAAAAATAAAGTGCAAGATTTTAAATAAAGTGAAATATTTTCTTTGAAATTCTCATTTTCTATAAAAGCAGGTAGTGTGGATGAACAGTGCGACTCCTCACAGCTTTTAACCTGTTTGGTACAGTGTTGAAATCCTTTTAAATTCAGTAATATTATGATATTTATATTTATATATTTGGATTTCATTTGTAAAATAAAAATGCACTTTTTGACATTGGTTGTTTTTATTTATCATTTGTGGGTCTTATAAACACTCTTAAAACAGATATGTTAAAAAACAACACATTCTGTCTCTAACTAGACACATCAGTGTGTTCAGCTGGAGACGACACAAAATGTATGGAAATACTTCTACACCCAGTTATGAATAACACATTTTGGGTTACTTTTAACATAGAATGTGTTAAATCAGAAAACAACACGACACAAAAAGTGTTAAAATGGGTTACACAATTAGTGGGTTGTTATTTAATATTATCACTTTTTAGACTATATACACGCATTATATATATTATATAATATATGTAATATATTATTATATATAAGATTTATGTTTAATGAAAGTTTAAAAACCATAACACAAATATGAAATGTATTATGGTTAATTTTTAACTCATCATTAGATACTGTTAGTCTGAAATAATTGAATAATCCACTATTTATATTATTTATTGGTTTGTTTTTACAAATAAGTCTCTGTCCGCTCGTTTGTGTAGCTTCATTATTTTGTTGTATTTCAGGTGTCTAAGATTTCTGGATGAAAAAATGCGACTTTTTCTGTGTCGCTGCGGCTTGAATTACAATTAAATTACAGAATTAAAGAGAATTAAATTAATATCAAACGAAATTGTTTCATATAACTGTAAGAATGATTAAAAAGCTGCACCACAAATATCATTAACACAACTGCTGCACAGATGAAATGGTTAAATCTTTAGACTTCATAAATATTTTAAATGTTCAGAGTGATTAATACAGAAACACACTTTTTCAGCTTTGTGACATGTGAAGGTTCAGAGTCTTTATTTTGATAAAATGTTCCTGCAGGTAAAACTCATCATCATCACTCAGTCTGCAGTGAGAATGAGGAATCGTTTCCTTTTTCAGAATGATCACTGAACTGATCCAGTGTGTGTGTGTGTGTGTGTGTGTGTGTGTGTGTGTGTGAGGCTGTTACAGTTTGGACACTTTAAATAAACAATAAAATATTAATTTACAGGATTTCATCCGGTTTGCATCATTCTTGTGTGTGTCGGGGCTCAGCTCGCCCTGCAGCACAGTTTTAACATTTAAAAACGTGTAAAAGTATTAAAATGTTTAAATATTAACGTTTGAAATATTAAAAATGTACAAATTGAAAGGATAAAGTGTCTTATCCATACATATGAAAAGAAGCAATGTATTTTTTCTTTCTTAAATTTTCCCCCTTTTTAAATAAAATTATGATAAAACTAAGTTTCGGTTTATAACTACACTACAATTAACATTCATAAATGTGAATCATGTGTCTCATTGTAATGTCAGTGTTAAATTCTAAACTGATAAATACGTATTTTTCTGTAAGTGTATATGAGTCTATGATATTTTCCTGTTTTTCTGTGAGGACGTGTGGTGCCGTGTTGAGGTGCCCGGGTCAGTGTAGATGAGGCCTGCCGCCTTTAAGCAGCGCAGAATAGTCTGTACTTTATGTGAAACACATTAAAATTTAGCCTGTTACAAAACCTCCTGGCACTAAAGCCTCCTAACAGACAGGTCCTTGGCCGATTCCACCAAACTTCTGTTTCTTAGCTTAAACCAGCTCAGATGTCTCAGCGCTTTTAACCAAAGCGCGGCTCTACCTGCTCAAAACTGTCCCCATATTAATCAGTCGTAGTTTACAGCAGCCACGCAGCACATATTAAACTTCTCTTACTTATTCCACACCGAGCGCTAATAAAGCAGATTAAAAACAGCCTCCGTCCGTTTTAACGTGCCAGTTCTCTTAAAGTTTCAGCCTTTAGGCCTTTCAGCATCCAGAGCGCGCGGGACTCCTCCACCAATCAGCGCGCGCGCAGCTAATTAGGCGAATGCTGGAAAACATAAACAAGCGTTTATGCTAAGCTAACCCAGTGAGGGGATTTTCTTTAAGAAAAATAAAGTTAAACAGAGAGTGATGGCCTTTCTTCTGAGGGACAGAGCGGCTTACCAACACGCCCAGGTCTCAGAGCGAGTCTAATTCCCTCATTTTAATATTCGAGGTGCAGCGCTCAGTGCGGACTCTTTTTCCAGTCAGGGCCTTGTGGTCTTTTCACGGAGGGCCTTGTTCGTGCAGTCCATACTGAATGTGCTGCAGGCCTGCTGGGTTTCTTGGCTCAAGCCGCCGCTGCCTGGCCCGTGTTTAGTCCAGCGGCTCTACTCTAAACAGCACTGAGCTGAAAAGAGGAGCGTGAAACCGGGACTCGGCTAAGCAACGACTCGGCCAGGAATGCGGCCGAGCGGCTCGAATCACGAAGCGCACGGCCTTTTCTTTACCTTAAACACTCGAGGAAACTGTGCTGTTTGACCTAAAGAGCCCAGCAAGCAGCCTCGGAGTTCACCTTTACTACTTAAACCTGCCAGAACGACAGCAGTGCTGAACTAGCCTGGCCTGAATAAACAACTCCGCTCTCTCTCGTAAAAAATAGTCCTTTAAACTTGGAAAGTCTGGCCTAATTGAAATTTTCAAAGTGGCTTTCATGTTAAAGGTAGGCTATAGCCTACATTTCGATTTCCCGAGGGGCTATAGGCTTCAGTTCGTTTGGCAGACACATGAGTGGGCTTTTGAAAACGCGCTGAAAGAAAAGTGGCCTAATCAAACTTAGCCCGATAAGACGGGGGCGCATCTGGTTAAGCTCTCGCTGCGTTTAAGCCGCCCTTTAATGATGTGGTT